TCAAAGAATTTCACAAGTATGGAAGGTTGGTCAAAGGTATCAATGCTTCATATATCACCCTTGTTCCCAAGAAGAAAAATCCCATGACTTTGAACGAGTACAGGCCGGTTAGTATGGTTGGGGAGCCTTTATAAAATTTTAGCTAAAGTTTTAGCAAATAGGCTACGGAAAGTCATTGGAAAGGTTATCAGCATGACCCAATCTACTTTTCTAGAGGGAAGGCAGCTTATTGATAGTGTCTTAGCACTCAATGAACTGGTGCATGAATTAAAAAGAAGGAAGGAAATGGGCATCTTGTTTAAGGTAGACTTTGAAAAGGCTTTTGACTCAGTTGACTAGGATTACCTTGATTCTATGTAGTCTTCCTTAGGGTTCGGAGACAAATGGTGTGGGTGGATTAAAGAGTGCTTAACTTCTGCATCTGTTTCAATTCTTGTTAATGGGAGCCCCACGCAGGAATTCAAAATGCAAAAAGGGCTTAGGCAAGGTGACCCCCTTTTTCCTTACCTTTTTTTAATAGCTGCTGAAGGTCTGCATGCTCTTGTTCATGAAGCTGAAAAGAAAAATTTCCTTATTGGTATAGCTGTTTTTAGAGATTTATTTGTTTCCCACCTCCAATTTGCTGATGACACTATTCTCCTTGGGGAAGCTTCTCTTAAGTCAATCAGAGCATTCAAGTTTATCCTTAGATGGTTTGAAATTATCTCAGGGCTTAAAATAAACTTCAGCAAAAGTACCTTGTATGGTATTAATATTGAGGAGAATTGGCTTAATATGGCTGCCTCTACCCTTAATTCAAAGTGTGGGCACCTGCCCTTCCTTTACTTGGGACTCCCTGTTGGTGGCAACCCTCATCATCTCAGATTCTGGAAACCAGTGGTTGAGAAGTTCCAGTCTAAGTTGGCAACCTGGAAAGGAAAGCTCTTATCATTTGGAGGGCGCATCACACTCCTCACGTCGGTACTTTCGGCTCTCCCTCTTTTTTACCTTTCTATTTTTAAGGTCCCTAAAGGTGTTGTTAGTGAGTTAGAGAAAATACAAAAAAACTTTTTTGTGGGGGAGTTCAAACGACTATAATAAGATTGCTTGGGTTAATTGGGGGAGAGTTTGCCTTGCGAAATCAAAGGGAGGGCTTGGCATCCCAAACCTTTCTACTAGGAATTCTGCTTTACTAGGAAAATGGTGGAATAATTTTTATGATGCTGAAGGAAATGAGAAATTATGGAAAAAAATTATTGTTAGAAAATATTATGATGGAGTTTCTTCTACTTCTATCTCTAACACTGCCTCTTCGAGCCTCTCTCCCTTTTGGAAGGATATCTTATCTATTGGTAGGGATTGTGATAGAGCTTTTGGGTGTTTTGATGATGGTTTTATCCGTAAGGTTGGTGATGGCTCAAACACTAGATTTTGGAAGGATGCTTGGATGTGCAGCTCTCCGTTGATGTTTTCTTTCCCTCGCCTTTTTTGCCTTACATTAAGCAAGGATGCTTTGGTTGCCGAATTGAAGCTGGGTAATGCAGACGGGTGGGCTTATCAGTGGCGCAGACTTCCCTTCGGTAGAGAATTGGATGAGCTTGAGAGGCTTGAAGATTCCCTTCGAAATGTTATTTTATCAGACGGAAGGCTTGACAAGTTCATTTGGAAGCACTGCTCAACAGGTTATTCCTCCAAGCAAACTTACAAATTTCTTGATGATTTCCTTCCGTGCCTTGATGAGAAATGTTGCAAGGTGATTTGGAATCAGTTTATGCCATAAAAAATTAGTGTTTTTGCATGGCACCTCTTCTTGAATAGACCACCCACTAAAGACAACCTCCTTAATCGTGGTATTGACCTTTTTTCCAACCCAAAATGTGTTTTTTGTGGTGATAGTGTGGAAGATATTAACCACATCTTTGCAGTGTGTCGATTTTCCCAAAACATCTGGACTCGATTATGCTGCTGCTGGGGAACTACTTTTTCTCCCATTGGTAACGCCTCCCTCCTCCTTTTGCAACTTTGTTCACTTAAGTCTGGCATAAAATCTCAAAGTTGTTGGGTGCTTTCT